CAATTTTTTTTTTTAATTATTTAATTTCCGTAACAAGTATGTAATGGGTGATATATACATTTTTTTATAGTAGATACGTAATCATGCCAACACCAACTAATAAATGTCATAGTTAGTGGACAGGATAAAAGAACTTCATGCAAGCAATTATGGTTCGTCAGTCGAAAAAATATTAAATACAATATTGTTATTCACATTATATATAAAATAATTCTTACACCAAAATATTTAATTAAAGAAAAAATGTATTTTGATTTTCGGAGTATTTTTTTTTTAAATTAAAAGATTATTTATGGTTTTTTAAATTATTATGGATTGGGATAAGAAAATTTAAAAATGAAAAAAATATAATAAATTTAGTTTATATTATATATTTTAAAAATTATATTATTATTATTATTTTATGTAGAAGATTTGGCACTATGATTATTGCAGATATTGAATTTTTAATTTTTTTAAATAACAATAGAAAATAATTGCAGTAAATTTTATTTTTTATAATTTAATTTTTTTAAACAGCTGACCTTTTTTTGACGGTAATATCAAGTATTTTTGGCTGGTAAATAAACTAGGAAACTTATTATTATTTGGTAATGAAATTATCGCGAGAAAATCCAGCAATTGGTTGCTGAAGCGGTGACCTGCCTTAGGTAACCTCATCCCCGTAAGAGAACTTTCCGACCAAAAAACGACACCGTTCTTAGGGTTTAAAATATATCTCACAGTAATTAAAAATAATAATAATAATAATGTAGTCGAAGTTTGTTCCTATTTAAAATCTAATTACATCATAATTACTATTAAAATTACTAAATTTTATAGGTTAGAGAAATAGTAATCATTTTTAACTAAAAGTAAAAACGTATAAAAATTAAAAACACGATTAAGCATTTGTTAATTGTTTTGATTATGTTGTCTTCAAAATACGATATGTTTTTATTAAAAATAATCAAAATTTTAATTTTAATTTTTTATAATAATTTAATTAAATAAATTTAATAATTATAAATATTATTTTAATATAAAAATATACTAAATTTAACTCAATTTAATCACAGTAATAATACTAACATATTAATTAAATAACTGTTTAATTTAATTAAATTAAATATTTTAAATCAATAATAATTTATTTATAAAAATATAAATTAAACATTTTTAATAATATTTAAATTTATAATATTTAAGTATTATAAAAAAATTTATCAATTTATAATTAAATTAATTATTATATATAATTAGTTATAATTAGATAGATAAATATTATAAAGGGTAATTTTGCAATCGAAAAAATATGTAAAATGTATAAAACCGATAAAGCTAAATATATATATATATATATCAAACCGTGATTGAGAGGAGAAAACATGTAAATGTTAAATCAATTTTACTTCCCCTGACTTTTTGTTTAATTATTACTCTTGTTTTTTCCAACTTATTATTTTAAAATTTTATGCTATTTTTATATATGGAATTAAAAAATAAATTTGCTATATAAATTCCCTTCTCTATTCTCTTATCTTTAATCGTCTCCAGCCATTCTAATGCTTGAATCCAATTATTACTTTAACAATTAGGTTTATGCTAAAATTTGTATAAGATTCAAATATAAAACAAGATATTCAAAAATTATATTAAAATGAGTAAAATTTATAATATATTACTTTAAATCTATATGGGTTATTATTATTATTATTATTATTATTTACCATATTCTAATAAATTATATATTAAAGCTAAAATAATTATACATTTATAAATAAATTTTACGGCTTCCAGTACTTTTGATCAGATAATATTTTTTTTTATAAAATATAATTTATTATAATAAATTACCATGAAATGGACCGTTGGGTGGACGCGCAGTGCACGCGTTAAGAGCTATAAGCCAAAAGTAATAATTGTTTTTCAAATAATAATAATAAATAATTGAATAAAATAA